AGAAGAAGAAGAAGAAGAAGAAGAAGAAGAAGAAGAAGAAGAAGAAGAAGAAGAAGAAGAAGAAGAAGAAGAAGAAGACGACGACGACAACGACTGGCTGGGCTACATAGCAAGACCCTGTCTCAAAACAAAACAAGGCCCAGCGAGATTGCTCACTGGCTTAAGCACCTGCCTGGAAAGTACAAGATCCTGAATTTGATCCCCAGTACCCCCCAAAAAAAATCCACTTTTCTTCTCTCTTACAATCAGAAGCAAGCATCCAGCTAATTTCAACATGCATTGCTCTTCCTGTACTTAATCAACTACTCCAGAAGTGTCCTAGCCTAGGCTGAGAGTTAAAAATAACCCCTTGGGTTCAGCCCTAGGGTGGTGGCTCACACTGTGACATTTGTAATACTAATAAACTTATCAAGACAACCTGAACTGTGTCCAGGAAGCTTATGGATATTTTACTGCATTCTTAAGATCCTGATACAAGGAGTAACTGCTGTCCCCTGATGAATGTGGAAACCTGGTCTCAGAGGAGTGGGGAAGGACCACGCCCTCTTAGCTCAGGCCGCTGACACCAGCCCTGTCACCTCCCCTTCATGTCTTCCCACTTCCTTCTACCGTCTCCAAGCCCAAAATGCCTTTGCAATTTGTCACACGTACATCTACCTGTACTGCTGCTGACTTACTAGTCTTTAAAATTACTCACCTGGCTGGGAGTGGTGGCACACACCTGTGATTCCCACTTGGGAGGCTGAAGCAGGAAGACTACCCAGAGTCTGAGGCCAGCCTGAACTACACAGCAAGATCCTGTCTCAAAAAAAAGAAATAAATAAATAATTCACTTTATTTAAACAAATTTTATTGGAAAAGTCAACTATGACATAACCATAAGTGAAAAGACAGTGGTACTTTGCCCTATGGGGAGCAACACATAAAAGTAAATACAATGAAAACCAAAGTTCATTATATAATCTAGCCTGACATCATTGCCTTTTCCGGCCGCTGCTGCTTTTGTTCACAAGAAGGAAGAGTAAGAAAAGAAAGTTCACTGTTAAAGACACCGTATGGGCTGATGCAGGTAAAAATTATCTTCGTGTGTCATGTGTATGTATGAATCTGCCAGAAGAAGACCCATTAATCTACATGACCAATATGAACTCATTGCAAAAAGATATGAGGGGTTGGGAAGCTAGCTCAGCAGCATAAGCACTTGCCTGGCAAACGCAAGGTCCTCAGTTTGATCCCCATACCAAAAAAATAATAAGATATGAAAGGATGGGTTTGGTGGTACACACTTGTAACCCCAGCACTTGGGAGGCTGAGGCAGAAGGATCACTTCAACTTTGAGGTCAGCCTAGGCTACAAAGTGAGTTCAAGGCCAGCCTGAACTGCATGGTGAAACCCTCTTTCAAAGACTAGAAAGAAAGATGAAACAAAAAAATCATGGCAAGACTAGCCCATTCTAAGACTGTCTCCTGCGTGTCTTTAGAGGTCAGAATGAGTCCAGCCAGTCATCTATCCCTTGGCTTCATGAACCATCTGAGTATCACTCCTTAGGACCCTGTACAACACTGCCATGGCTCATCAAAAAGGGGCCATGGGTTTCACCCTCATCTCTGATATCACTGTGACCTGGCAGGAGAGCCGCTGCTTCTGACCGGCCATGGATCAACAGGAAACCTATTCATCAACCCCACTGACCTATTCAAAAGAACTGACATTGATTCCCTGTGCTCCTAACCAAAAAAACTAGAAGTTCTGAGATAGGCAAAAGATTAAGATCTTAACTTCAAGGCAGATAGGGTTGGCAGACAACACATATAATGCCAGAATTTGGGAGGCTAGGGCTCTGGAGGAGTCCAGCTCAAAGCCAGCAAGCCTAGACAACATAGCAAAACCCTGTTTCAAAATACCAAAACCTCAACTGCAAACACTGATTTTGTCCTGTCCCACTTTGGATAAAGTATAAGTCTTGCCTCATAAGACCTACTTGTTGACAAAAGGAGCACTGACTTCTCTGGGGACAGCCTGATGTATGTTCCTCTTGGGGAGTCTGATGAAATTTGCCAAATTAAATGTAGAAAATTACAAAGCAATTGCGAGAGTTTGGATATGGTTCCAGAGTGTCCCCAGAAGGTCATGTGCTGGAGGTGTGGTCCTCCATTTGGGGGTATGGTGTTGGTGGAACTTTTAAGAGGTGGACTGCACCGGCCCCGCCCCCATACATGCTGAGCAGGTCACTGAGCCCACATGTGGTGTGCACACCTGTAATCCCAGTGCTAGGGAGGCTGAAAACAGGAAAGTTGCTAAGAGTCAGAGCTGCATAGTGAGACCCTGTACGAAATGCACTTAAAAAAAGAAAAGATGGACCAAGGGATGTAGGTTATTGGAGACTAATGCTGGTCTCTGGTAGAATAAGTTAGGTCCGGAGAGATGGGTTGTTAAAAAGCAGGCTAGTCAGGTGTAGTGGGGCATACCTGTCACCCCAGCACTCAGGAGGCTGACGCAAGGAGATTGCCCCAAGTTAGAGACCAGCATGAACTATATATATGGCAAGACCCTCTGTACTTGACCTCTCGTGCACGTGGTCATTTCCCTCTTGTCTCCAGATGAGAGGACTCTGTCCAAAGACTGGGCAGAGGGCAGTGTAAGAACTTGGGGTACAATAGCTCAGTCCACTCTCCCACACCCCTATTGTGTGAGTTCTTTATTACCCCCACTTTACAGAGGAGGAAGCTGAGGCTCCAAGATCACCAGCCTGCTAAGTATCTGAGTCAGGGCTGACTGATGCTGCCTGGCACACTGTGCTACGTACTGCGCTATCCCTTGTGATTTAAAAGGAAATGTATTTACACAGGGAAGAAGTGATTGCAGGTTAAAAATAAGTCAGATAAACCTGGCAGGGTGATACATGGTGTACCTGTAATCCCAGAACACTGCAGGATGCTGAGGGAGGAAGACCATATTTTGAGGCCAGTTTGGGAAGTTCAGCAACTTACCAAGGCCCTGTACTACATTAAAAAATAATAAATAAAAAGGTCTGGGAGAGCACATTGGCCAAGCAATGGCC